AGAGGTCCGATATTGTTCTATGTACAAACCTTGTTTTATTGATTGCATGTAATATTCTCATTTTCTGAGATTGTGGATTTGGGGTTTTCATGAGCTATAAGCCATAATTATCACAATTATGACAAATCATGGATTGAACTATCTTGCTTTGCATGTAATGAGTCTATCTCATATATTAGTTTCACCTTTTAAGTTGCATTACTGAAATAAATGAACGTTTGCACGATATTCTAATAATTTTTTGAGTTTCACACATATATATATATATATATATATATATATATGTATATATATATATATATATTATATACTGCATGTTGAAATGCGTTTTTATTACAAAATATATGAAAAATATTTTTAAAAATACATTTCAAATATACTGTATGTCTTTAAAAATACAAATCTACATTTTTGGAATGCATTTACAAGTATATGTAAACAGATATGTTAAAATAACTTTTTTATATGTTAAAACAATCTGAAGAATGTATTAAAAATATATATATTTTTTAAATATATTCTTCAGGTTTTTTTAACATATTAAAAAGTAATTTTAACATGTATTTTTACATATATTTGTAAATGCAATCCAAAAATGTAGATTTGTACTTTTAAAGACATACAGTATATTTGAAATGTATTTTTAAAAATATTTGTCATATATTTTGTAATACAAATGCATTTCAACATGCAGTATATAATATATATATATATATATATATATTGAAATATATTGAATATGGCCAAAATTGTAGCATTTCAAATATATGGCAAAATATTTGGGAAGAATATTAATAAAATATTTCAAATATATTTTCTTCCATGTGGGTAGGAACATGTGTTCCCATTGCATAAGTGGTTAAATGGTTAGAACTTTTGTCTGGCAGCATTATGGTCATCGGTTTGAATCCCAACCATGACACTACCTGCCTGGAGTTTGAATGTTCTCCTTGTGCCTGCATGGTTTTCCTACAGATACTCCAGTTACCTCGCACACTCCAAAGACATGCTGGTAGGATAATTGTCTCTTGTCTAAATTGGCCATGGCATATGTGTGTATGAATGTGGGGACCTTAGATTGTATGCTTCTTGAGGGCAGGGACAGAGGTGACTGTATAATATATGTGTAAAAACACTGGATAAATTGTCGGCGCTATGAAAATACCTATAATAAATAAATACTAGAAAAGCTACAATTTCTGGGGAAATTGTGTGAAGTGTTCTTGTCTCCACCAGTAGTCTACAACTGGAGTGGGCGGAGTAACTGGGTGGGGTGGCTTGAGTAACTGTTGTGTGGTTGGAGTGGCTGGAGTAATTTCACCACAAAAACACCGATATTTCGTGAACCATTCAGTGAAACGTTCCGCAAAGTAGTAGCACACCAATCGGAAACAATCCGGGCGATTTGGTATATTACTGTCTATGTAGTGTAAAAACTGTGGGAGGAGTTACGGTGGTAAATTTGGCTATAATAATAAGAATATATATGTGAGATAACAGTAAGTGGTCTTGCCATGCAAGAACACTTAATTAGACAGTTGTCATTGAAACATGCATCCCCATTGGATAATTTAAAGCCTCCTGACTGGCTGGAGAACATGATGTCATCCACCCGCCTCTCTACTTTGGCCAATCTGAGGAAGCCATATATTCATTCATAAAAATACAAGGCCTCCTGTGAATGGCAAAGCAGTGCTCAGCCCAATTCAATTTTGTTCAAGGAATGGGATTAGAAGTCTCTTTACCACAACACAGCTCTGTATACTGTATGTAGCTGGTGCTACATCCAATTTATACAGCGCTGACAGCAGTAGAATGTAGTAGTGAAGAAAATAATTTGTCTGAACCAGCTTGGCCCAAACAAACTATTTAAAGTAATAGCAAACCTGGAGTTAGGCTTTAACTTCATCTCTTGCTCTGGTGACAACTGTAAAATGTTTTACTTCCCCTCAATTTTTGTTTCAGTGGCAGTGGTCAGTTTGACAAATAGAAGGACAACTTTCCCAATTGGGGACACACACAGCAGTAAAAACTTGGCAGAGGTACTAACCCTTCCGTACTCCTATCCAAACCAAAAAAACTATACACTTTAGTTGTGTACTCTACTTCACCGTTCAAGTTATCTCCCAGCGACCACTAGTGTCTTGCATAGTTTTACACCACCATCTCTAACAAGTTGTTTTCTAGTTCTGTATAGAGAAGTAAAACTATTTCCTGCAGCTTGTTCTATGGATTGTGCAGAGGACAGTACAAACACAACAATGGTTCAAATATTCTACACCTTTGTTACACATGATACTAAGAAGTGTGTGGTTATTGACATTTTGCCATGAAGATGTTTTATTAAACCAGAAAACACAATAGTGTAGCTAGACAATGTCTTAAAATTCTTATTTTTATGCCAGGCTAGAAATTTCAGAGAGGATCAGGCATTGCAAAGGGTGTCAGGAGAACAGGGAGGAAGCACAGCACTGAAGTTTATTTGCCTACATAGTTACATAGTTAGTCTGGCTGAAAAAAGACAAAAGTCCATAGAGTTCAAACATAGAAAAAAAAAAAAGTTATAATCCTATACCCACAGTTGATTCAGAGGAAGGCAAAAAAAATCCCACTACTGTGCTGCCCTTGGCTATTCCCTGTCCACAATCCAGGTCCTGCAGCCTCCTGAGTCCTGAGATACTCTTGTCACATCTCCCAGGAGGTTGCAGGACTAGGGACACAGAGCAGCTAGAGGGTTGGCCCAGAGAGTCATCCAGAGCTGGCTGCTGAAACCTAGAAGAGGTATCCAGCTGAGGAGGACCAATATGGCGGGCCTGGGCTATATTAATGGAACAGTGGATCTCAGCGCGACAACACTGAATTTTCTGTGCTGGTGAATATGAGCTCTGAACATAACCCCGCAATAAAGGTGAGAGGGTTAAAAATAATAGGCACAGGGGTAATTTATTACCACTTTACGTTGTTCTTGGAGATGAGGATCAGTCATTTATAAGGTTTGTTTGTTTGTTTATAAGGTTTTTTTTTTCTTACTCTGGACCACCCTGGTATTTTGGAATGGCTGAATTGCTTCTTGTGTCTTTTTTAACCACTTACCCTCCAGAGGATTTACCCCCCTTCCTGACCAGGCCATTTTTTGCATTACGGCACTGCATTACTTTAACTGATGAATTGCGCGGTCCTGCAACACTGCACCCAAATGAAATTTACGGCCTTTTTTCCCCACAAATTGAGCTTTCTTTTGGTGCTATTTGATTTCCTGTGTTTTTTTTTATTTTTTATGAAAAAAAAAGAATGACAATTTTGAGAAAAAAAAACAATATTTTTGACTTTTTGCTATTAACCTCCCTGGCGGTATGATCATGTCAGGAATTTTGTGCTGAAAGCGGTACCATTTTTTTGCATGGAAATATGTAGTTTTTAATTGTAGGCTGTAATTTTTAGGAATAACTCACTGAAATCTGTCCGAAAAAGAGTCTATTAAACATTCCGGATATGATAAAACTTGAAACACGAAATCATAAATTATAATTTAATAAATAATCATAAAAAATAATAATATAATAATAAATTTAATTCAATAATATAATCAAATCAAAAACACTGAAATTTGAAATACAGAGGCAAATTCGCACATCGCTGAGCAAAGTCGCAAAATCGTTTTCAGTGTCTGATGACGAATTTCCCCACAAATCATTATCACTCAATTCTGCAAGTGGTTCTGATTTACTATCGCTGTTCTAAAACCGCTTTTGATGTAAAGGGATGCTTTTTGGCCGCCATGGACTTTTCTAAGTTTCCAGGCAGAAAGAACAGTCAAAATGCAGGCAGGGCACAGGACAAAGCAGTGGGGACAAAATGTATGTGAAATGCAGTGAAAAAGCAATGACAGCAAAAATGTCGTTTTTTAAAAATTTCAAATTTCCCGCCGGTTCCGCCGCCCGAACGTTCCGACGTCACGGGGACCGGAACACGGAAGTCAGATGCCGGCATCCGCCGGAGGAGATGGACGGGGACACTGCAGGGGACCCATCGTGGGAGCGAAGGACAAGGTAAGTGCTGCAGGGACCCCCAGAGAACGCTGCATAGTAAGCCCGAGTGTAGCTCGGGGTTACCGTTCTTGGTATAGAAATTCTACCCCGAGCTACACTCGGGAACACCGCCAAGGAGGTTAAACATGTCCAGTAAAAAAAAATGTAAAAATCAAATTTCCTCATAAATTTAGGCCAAAATGTATTCTGCTACAAGTCTTTGCTTAAAGAGATCCCAATACATGTAAATTAATTGGTTTACGTGAAAGTTATAGCATTTACAAATGGCGGTATATACAGTATACTGGAATTTTTTTTCACTAGTGATGGTGGCGATCAGTGACTTATAGCGGGACTGCGGCGGGCATTCTGACACTGTGGGGAACTGATTTGGTGTCACCGACATCCCCAGTGACACCAATACATTGATCTGTGCTAATAAAAAGCACTGACACTATACTAATGGCATTGCGCAGGAAGGGGTTAACATGTGGGATGATCAAAGGGTTAACTGTGTGCTGTTTTGCATACTGGGCTGTGTTTGTGCTGCACTGTAAGCACACTGCTTTGCAAAGCAGTGTGCAGGAGCTTTTGTTTAAAAACAGTTTCCCCCCCCAACCCCCGTTGGAGATGCTCGGCAGTCACCGGGTGCTGGCGATTAATCACCAGATGGGACCCAGTGATTGACAGCCGAGACTGCGAATGATGGCACGGGTAGGGCTCGTGCACACCCCCTACCCAGAACTGCAAAATCACGTACATATACGTGATTTTGCGCACCCATGCCGCCCTGTAGCAGTACTTCTGCTACAGAGCGGAAGGGAAGCGGTTAACCTACATATGTTGTAAAATCTAGACCTTAAAGCAACTCCAAGCTGACAGGTCTCTTCATTAAGGAGTGAATCTGTATGATAACCTTTGTCCAATGAGTAGGGAACTGACCTAGGAAACTTTGCGAGTGACTTGCCTTACCTTGTAGTTGCCACCAATTCCTCCATGGCTCTTGCCAGCTGCCATTTGTTCAGGGGTACTCTGTGGTTCAGTCATGTTTACCTGTAGAGTTCAAAATAAAAAAAGTCCAGTATTACAAACTATTTGTTTAAAAATAAAAGTGACATGGTATAGTGCAGATATATTTGGAACAATACAAATGAGACAGCTCACTCTATCAATTATCCAATGCATGATAGTCTCATACACAGCCGCAAAAGACTTTCATACAAGAATATCAAACCAAAGTCAGCATTTTCTCAAAGCCAGAAAATATGGTTTCATTTTTTTCCAAATGATCTAGTGGTGTGTCTGTGAGCTTACAGCTATTTAACAGGGAAACTACAGAGGTTTTTGGTCAATTTTGTGTTCATCAGTTCATAACCTTATATTTGATACCATCGTTTTTTAATAATTTTTACAAAATTGCCTTTTCACAAATAGACATTTAATACTGGGTGCTTCCATGCTTTGGTGTATGCAGTGCATGCTGGACTGTCTATAGTAAGTAAGCAAGCCCAGCACTAGTTGTGAACTAGTGTGTTCCTAAAGACCAAGGAGCCAGACTGCCCCATCTCTTCTAGAAGAATAAGAGGGAGTGTACCCTCCTCCGGGGCGGACTGACCATTTGGAAACTCGGGCACTGCCCGAGGGCCCGGGGTCAGTAGGGGGCCCCATGAGATGCCCTGGTACCTTTTTCATAGGCTTTTTTGAATTTGGGCAAGGACACAGGGGCCCCATGATCCCCTATTGCCCAGGGGCCCCATGAGTTGTCAGTCTGCCCCTGCCCTCCACTGTGTATGTTTATTCTAAAATCCTGTTATTCAGGTCTGTCATATCACAGCAGTAATGGCCTATTACTATTATTATATATTATACAGGATTTATGTAGCGCCAACAGTTTGAGCAGCACTTTACAATATAAAGGGAGACAATACAGTTACAATACAATTTGGTACAAGAGGAAACAGAGGGCCCTGCTCATTAGAGCTTACAATCTAGTACTAGACTTGAACTTGCCACCTGCTGGCTGCCAGTTAGTAAGCATGATGTATAGGCAATATTTGATTTTTACCCCAAAGCAATAATTAAAAAAAAATGAAACATCTGTATTTTTTTTCCGGACATAAAGAAAATAAACACCACAGTACGGCATGAATACCATAAAGAGAATACATTTAGCATACATAATAACATGCAGAAGAACAGTTTCAAGAAGTTATCAGAAGATATTTAATATTTGGATGATAGAGATGCTGGAGAGATATTTTAAATAGCGCAGCTGACTTCCTGTCTGGTGGTCATATAGATGAAGAAGCTGTGAAGCAAAGGGAAATTCTAAATCTACTGGGAAAACTCCTCCTGCATTTATATGGGCAATCCCTCCCTCCAAGCTGCTGGCACTAAAACTTCACCCTCAAAAGTGCAAATGAAAATCACAATATAAGTAGTGCAGCGCTCAATCCCTACTAACTCAATCAGTATATGGCATATAATAACACAAATATAAATATATATATATGCGTGATAAATCATACAATAAACACAACCCCTTCCTGATCCTCATCTGAGGTATCATAAATAAGTGCAATGAAGTGAGTCCATCCCTTAAAAGGGATGAGAACAAGTGAAAAAAGTGTAACACACTATAAAGAACTTTCAATCCCCCCAATGTCCATAAGAACCCCCTACGTATATACACATAAAAATCCACAGCAAATTCAGTGCTCCAATTGAACATCACACACATGCAGGTGATAATCTTGTGACCGTGATCATAGCTGCCACTCCTTCAATAGCCTGATTGCCCCCTCACCTTCTTACAAAGACCCCACAGGGCCAGCACGCTTTGTGGATCACCCTTCAATCCTCACAGGTGGTACTCTTCCCAGGTCAGTACCCCACTTATGGTCATCAATAGTGGCACTCTCTCCTCTCCTTGGATGGAGATAGTTGGTAACTGATAAGACTGAAATAATAACTGAAAAGAGTGCAGCTTAAGCAGAGATCACAGGACATTGTCATTTAACATGATTTCTGCCAAGATCAAATGGCATTTTTTTGCATTTATCAAACAAATAAAACAAACTCTTAAAAATGGTATATTTGAAGCGGAACTTCATTCTCCCAATCAACATCACATTTTTTTTAATACTTATACTGCTAGCATTAGTAAATAGATAGGAAAGTATAAGGTATTTACTTGTTTAAACTTTCTTTTTTTTTTTTACTTTTTTTCAGTTACTTCCTGGTTTCCATGCCTAGGCAAATTATGTCATACATCCCAGGAGTCTTAAGGATGGGAGGTGGGGTTTTCTTAGCTAAGCACACCCTTCTATTTGCATTTCTAAGCTATGGGAAGATGGATTCCAGGACGTAAATGCTAGTGCCCTTATTTAACATGGAAGCAACAAGAAATGCTTGGGGGTGTTTTTCAAAGTGATTTCTCAGCAAAATAAAGCATGGAGACACGGATGGATGGAGGAGTTTTCTTTGAGTATTAAAAATGAATTAAAGGATAAGTTCATCTTTTTACCAAAAATAATAAATGCACATTTTTTGCAGATAAAAAAAGGTGCATTTTTAGTTTTTGGTTGCAGGAGCCTGGAAACCATTGCACCAGCGATCAGCAGACAGCTGGTGCCATGCAAGTCTCCTGCAGACCTGTCAGTATATCTGCTTGCCAGTACAGGAGGTACAAGCAAGCAGATATACTGACAGGAGAATGAATAACCTACCACGGCGCTCCACAGTGTTATAGTAGTTCATTGAGAACTACAAGCTGACAGCTGCTAAGGCTGTTGGGACTTGTAGTTTCTCATTCACTGTGAATGAGTGACGCAGCCAGGCTGGTGGAGCCATTTTTTTTTTTAAATTTGACAGCTAGCGGGGGGGGGGGGAGAAGATCCCCCGTTAGCTGTCAAAGTGGGGAAGCCGGTGTATTCACCACATGTTACACCCTGAATATGGGTGTAACATGTAACATGTTATGAAAGGCGAACTTATCCTTTAAATAACTTTTTTGGTTTGCGGTGCTCTGTTTCAGTGTAGTACTGCTTTAAAACACTAAAGGGGAGCAAATAAGAGAAGCTTACAGCCAGGCTCCATGTACACGGGACACTTCTGACCACTGGAAACCGACCGCTGGAAAACGTAGCTTAAAAAAAGTCTGCTTAGCCGCGTTTGCATACCGCGTTAATGTGCGTTTATGAACGTTTGCGTTTAGAAGCATTTTTTTAAAGATAACCTCAGAAGACCTTCCAAAATGCCCAGAATGCACTGAAAAACAGTAAAAAATTAACTATTTCAGACATTTTGAGAGAACTAGAGAGAGTAGAAGCAGGGAGAGCAGTATGTGTTGAGATTAGCTGTCTTTTTCTTTTTGGGGTGTTTGGATGTGTTCCAGCTCATTTCTGTGCAGAAATTATTGCAGCAGTGTCTAACATATTTTCTTTCATGGAAAACCTCAAAGTGTGGTGTTCCAGGTCCATTGGAGTACCGGGAAAATGCTTTGCATGTATTTTTCATGATGAAAAAAGGCTCTGGCCAGCATCTGGAAATGGAAGAGTTAATAAAATAACACATTTACAAGCATTTGGCGTTTGAAACACTGATAAAAAAGGGTTAAATACACTTTAGGAATGTCTATTTACCCCTTTTAGTGTGATATTACTAAGCATATTGAGAAGATCTGATATAGTTACTGGTGCACTATATTACACATCAGACCGAAAATATTATATGAACATATTTCAACCAAATTGTAGCTCTCTTTTTCTTTTGTCATATGGTGATACATAAATATTTCGTAAATGCAATACCCCAGATGAATACTGGCTATTAAAGCAATTGCTAAACATTGAAATCTGTTTGGGAAATGTCTTGTAAGTGCATTTCAGATACTCTGAGAGGATGTGGGCGTATATATGAGAACCATCTGTGAATATCAAACTTCTGACCTTTACATCAAATGAGAGGTTGCTAGACATTAAACTGTCCAGCCCAGCAGGCTTCCTAGTTAACCTAGTTAATGAGATATTCAGACCAAAAGGTCTTCTCATCAGTAATTAAATTAGTCTCCATGCTGGGTGACTCTTTCTCTCTTTGACCTATAGAAGGTGCATGTTATGTAAACCAGTTGTTATTCTTGTAATTGAAGAAACTAATTTGCATGCAGACAATATGCTTGCACCAATGCCAAACAGGGACACTGCCATAGCTGTCACCTTGGGGTTTATTTACTAAAGCTGGAGAGTCCAAAATCAGACTCCCTTCTGCATAGAAACCTATCAGCTTCCAGGTTTCATTGCCAAAGCTTCATTGAACAAGCTGAGGTTAGAAGCTGATAGGTTTCTATGCAGAAGGGAGTCTGATTTTGGACTCTCCAGCTTTAGTAAATAAACCCCCTTATGTCAGTTGTCAGTGCATTGTAGTTGTAAGGGCCACCACTAGGGGCTACTCTGAGACACTGCTGAAGTACGGTACGTGGAAAAGGTCACCGCTGTGGATGTTTTTTTGCATGGAAAAATCAATGCCAATTATAAGCCCGGGAAGGCGAAACATGTAGGGAGTAAGTACAATTATATAACCAAGTTTGAATCTCAGTTTTACTCTTAGTAGCCATTTTTGTGTACTTGCGACAGTGCAAATAAAAAAAGTATCACGTCAGTACTTTTAGTACTGAAATTGTTTTTATGTTTCTGTATTTTTTCCTTTTTTGTTGTGTTTTTTTACAAAAATACGAAATAAAAATTATATAACTTTTTATTATGTTTGGTATTCATGTCCATGCACCCTGAAAGTTCCATCTTCTCTATTGAATATTCACATTTATCAATGTACATGACACTATTTTGCATCCTATATTTACATTGACATTCAAGCTTGGAACTTTACAATTGAAGAATAAAAGTGCAGATTTTTGAATGATGTGCCCTCTTCCCCCTTTGCCCAATGGGAAACAGACCTATAATCCCCACATTCAGACCAGCAATGGACAAGAGCATTTTGCTCCATGTATAAGGCCATGTGCTGCTCCTCCCTTTGA